ATGCTGCGGACACACACACACACACACACAGACAACCCCGTAACAATATGCGTTTTGTACTGCTGTTACACAGCACAAAACGCATAATAAGCTGAAATCCTTTTATACAGACACACATACGCGTGGAAACACAAAAACAAGGACACGATCCCGTCTTGAACGATCTACGTAAAAACGTTGGAAAATGCATTTCACACTTCACATTTAGGCAAGCAAATGTCCGCGACTGGATCCATACAAGCATTCATCACCGCACTATAAGTCCGACCTTACCTGTGAGCAGGGTTTACCTGGATGGTCAAAAGATGCGGATTGTATGTGTGAATATCCCGTGGCCGCACGTGATGCAAAAGGATGCCCAACCGGATTTTACACACTTTGCTATCGCGGTCCTTTTGGCAGCAATGCATTACCAGAAGATGGGGTATGTTATTAATTTATACTAACTATTCATACTAGACGGTTATTTATGCCAGCCCAGCAGCTTGTAATAATCTCTAAGTTGTAGCAACGTAGCGTATAATATACTGAAAGTGATGAATTTCATTCTATTTGGAAGGCAGAAAGTGGATTCAGTATTCTCATTTATAATAAAAAAGCCTAGGCCTGGTGTCGCAATTTGTTCGGCGGTTTTTGAACGGTAAAAAAACAACAGCCTGACCATTGTAGTGACCAAAAGGTTGCTTCCTTTTGCTGACACTGTGTATCAGTGAATGGTACTTATGAAAAGTAAATGACTAGTCGCGTGAATATTGTGCCTAAACTGTTGCGAAAGAAATTTATAGCGGAATCGAACTCCGATTCCGAGGTTCAGAGAGAAGAATTTGGTGGTTCAGTGGCTGCAACAATTCTTCTCCTGTCTTATTCGACTGGGCTCTTCGTAATCCTAAAATAGTTTCCAAAAAATTAACTATCAAATCGTTACCTCAGGTTTAAGTAGAAGAATGTCCAATGCACCAAATTAATAATATGGTCGTACAGCGGCGAAATACCACTATTCAGCGGCCGAAAAGACCAGGCCTCTGGGTTCTAAATCTCACTGAGTCCTCCCTATCGCCTCGGCCTTGCCGAGTCCGCCACCTCGTCTTCCGCGTCGTACCCAAAACACAGTCCTGTCGTCGACCGCCCGCTCGTCCTCGACCGTTTATCCCAACTACCCTGCTGTCGCCGCTCCGCAGTCCCCGTTTTGTCAACATGTTTCATGTTTTACAAAACATCACATGTACGAAAACAGATCACGAAAACATCACCATATGTGCGTATCGGCGAAAATAAGTGCTGATTAATTGTCGAGAAACATAACATGAACATAAATCATCGATATTTATAACTGTTTTATAAACATCGCTTAACGCGACATAAACACTGAACAGAGCATTAATTGAAATCGTGATCGAAAGGCTTGACACAGGTGCGCTTGCGTATGGAAACATCCCAGTAACACCACTAATACAGGGTCTCCACACCGAGTGTGTGGGTTGTGCAAACATTTTTGGTATTAAAACACCCTCAATGTGAAAAAATAGAGGAATTTTTAATACCTGTTTATTTACGAGAGTTAGAGTATCAATACTGCTCTCGAAATAATTATTTTTGGAGTATGAATTTTGCCCACGAAATTATCATCATTGTTATTGTCAACCCTGGTGTTATTATTGCTGTTGCTATTTTCATTTACTCCGTGGCTTTTTGAACTTTAAATTACACTGTAGAGTATGTATTG